CTGCTCAAACAGGTATAATTATGTTGGATTTTGACTAAATGAGAACTTTTGATTGACCTAAACCACTGAAATTTGGAGGTCTTATTATCCCCTAATTAACCCCTGCCCTATGAGTTTTCGACTCTAATGAGTCTTCCAGTTTTGTCCAATATCCTGCTTCCCAGCTATTCCCTCTACTAAAGAACATAAAAAGAAACAAGAGAGCATCTCTTAGGAGCAGAAGAAAACACAGCTGCAAAGCACAGTCCTCAACCCGCCAAAGGGTCTTGAGAGCAGTGGGATGCTTGCCAGGCATTCAATGGGAATATCACTCCACTGCTGCCCTCTACCATTTCCATCATAAGAAGAGTTGCAGTCACTAAATTCCAACCCCATTAACTCTGGTAAATATTAGTATAAACAATCAAATCATAACTGGCCTCCAACTTATGTTGACATAGGGACGGGACAGGAAGATAGACTAGCCAGCATATCCTTCCAGCGAAAAGGATATCCTTCCCCCAGATCCTTGGGGAGAGGGTAGCTATAAGTACCAAGTTGCTGTCTTGAAGGTAGAGAAAGGTGTCAGAATCCTTGCCCTTCATCTAGCACCCTTGTTCACTTTAGCATATATCTGGGAAGAAGGCACAATTAAGGAGATCAGAAAGGCTTAGGTTATGGACCAGTCAAGTTTGAGGGTCAGTGAAGGGTATGGGTCAGGATGTACCCATGATAAGGTTAAAGGTCAGTCTGGGACCAGGGATCTGTTTGCTGATGAAGGATAGAATGGGGAGGGGGTCTATGTTAAAGAGTCTGATCCCAGAAATTGGCAGCTCAAGTCAAGTCATCCAATGACATACATTAATTTGTATTGTATTAGTCTGTGCTTTCTGCTGCGATTCTTGGATGGAGAAGTACTAGAACTCCTTTGTAATTGGACCGTCTTTGAAAATTTCATTGAAAATAGAATTTCTAGGACACAGATAATAAACCCAGGTCAAAACTACACCCATATGGGCTAGGGAGATGGCTCAGTGGAATAAGCGCTTCCCTGGAAAGCGCAAGGGCCTGAGTTCAATCCCTGGTTCCAAAAAAAAAAACAAAAACCCTACGCCCATGACAAAGAGTAGGCTCTCCTGATTTTTCTTAAGGGAATTTCTACCATTTGGTTTTGAGCCCCAGGATGGCAGTAACTTTACTTTATTCAACATTATATCACCAGTTCCCTGAATGGTTCCTGGCATATAGCTGGTGGCTAGCTAACTTATCTTAAATCAATGAAGGTGGCTCTGGATTAGTGATGTGGCACTGGTGATTGGCCAGCTGGTGCCTACAAATGATATATCTGTCACAACTGTCTCCTCCATCAATCTTTTCTCCCATTCTGCATCCTAGCTCTGACAGTATCAACTGTCATCTGTAGCACATCCACAGGACAGAGATAGGTGCAGAACACATTGATGCCTTCACAACCCTTCTTGTAGGGTTCCTTCAACTCTGCTCTTAGGAGCTAAAGTCAGACAAGACATGAATTTATCAATTATCATTCCTTTTTCTTTATTATCACTTTAAAAGGGTCTCATGAGAGACAAAAGGTGAATAAAGGTCTTGATCTTCCATTTTTAACTAGGAGCCATGCTGTTGAAACATAAAGAGCCCCAAGGCCAACAGGGTCTTCAGACACAGGGCACCTGAGCTCATGATGCCATAGGAGTGCCTCAGGGGCCATAGGGTGGCTTAGAGGAAGGTCTGTGGGTCAAATACCTGCTGTTTGCATTGGAGTTCTATGAAGACTTTCCCCGAAGCAGAAGTTATTGCAGTCTGATGTCTGTTGTCAAACCAATCTCATTTGCCCTGTATTATAAAGAAGACAGTTGGGTCTGAAGATTGGCCAAAACTCAGGCAGCAAGGAAATTGCAGACCTGAATACCAGTGTCTGCTTCCCAGGTAAGAGTTTCCACCTACATTGCTGCTGACTTCCTCACCATGCCCCAGAAGGCTCTGTCATCAGAAGTCACACTTTGCTCTGCCAGGGCTCAGCTCTGAAGGGTAGGGTTCATAGGGGTTGATGGGCTGGGAGAGAGAGAGCAGTCTATATCACATCACAAGTGAAGCCACCACTGGTCTTGCCCATTCTTCTATCTGCTGTATACTTCAACCAAAGGAATAAAGCTGATAGCAAGTACCTTTCAGGTGAGGGCACTGACAGGTCACAATGACAGAAATGTCCCCAACATTTCTATAAAGAAAAATGGCCACACGCCCATAGGCCAAGTCAAGGTGAGAAATAAATGGAAGATAATTCTTGACCCAAAATCCATTTAAATTCTCCCTGAAATCTGCTTCCTCCAGCAAGCCCATGAGGATGACGGTAGGGGGACAACAGACTCCTGATGGGAGTGAAATGGCAAGTACCAGAGAGCCTGAGTTCCCAGACCCTGGGAAGATTCTAACCACTTAGGGAACTGCACACCTCTGGACAGTTTCTATTTGTGTTTAAGAGCCTCAAACACAAACTGCACAGTACAAAACATTCCATCCTCTGTCTTGTACTCATTCGCTTGTAGCACAAGTAAATCCGATTCCCACATGGCCTAGTCTCATGCATCCTGGCACCAATTTCCAAACTAATCACTGTGAGCACCACTTCCCCAATAAAAAATAATGAAACAGGAAAGAGTCCAGCCCCTCAGGACAAGTGTTCCATGATCTTAAATCATTGGTGAGCCACCAACAAAATATTTTTAAAAGAATAAAATGATCCTATTTAGGAAAATCCATATAGCTATACTAGAAAGAGATATTAGAGTGGAAATGAAAATTGGAATGAGGAATGATCAGGACCTACCCTTAAGCACATACCGCAAAGAGAAGCGATGGATTCACAAAGGCAAGTAGACGAAAACTAATTAACAGAACTTGGAGACTGGCTCATCTTGCGGGAGGGGGGCAGAGGATGGCCCAAAAGAGCATTTTAGGTTTCTAGCTGTAGCAGCTGCCCAGAGAGTGGTTCCATTTTCTTTTTCTTTTTCTTTTTTTTTTTTTTTATCCTGTATTTAGGACAAGGTCTACAGGGCCTCACTACATAAATCAGACTCATAGTGATTCTCCTGTTTTCAGTCTCCCAAGTGCTGGGATTACAGGCGCGAGCCACCACGCCCAGTCTCTGGTTCCATTTTCATACGGGAACAGACCAAGTTAAGGATTTGGTTGTCCAAATGGTGAGTTTAATGTAGGTCATGTTTAATTTTAGATGCTTATGAGGCATCCAAGCAAAAATAAGGGTGCGGCCTACGCACTGGGAGTGGCACTGAGCTTTATTCCAGTCCCTTCACTGCTGAGACCTCCCTTCAGAAAGAGACGCTCCCCTCTCTCTGCCCTAGCACCTTTCTGCCTCCAACTGCTTCCTGGATTTGAGCACATCTCAAGCTGGCACAAGAAACTGACAACTGCTTTTACAGCTCTTGCCCTTCTATGTTCCTTCCCCCAAGAACTTCCAGAATTTTCTCGCAGGCCTCGTAAGGTCTACAAAAACATGAAATGGAGTGATGCTACTCCATCTCCTTCCAGGTACCATACCCCACACCTCCACCTCACCTCACCTCCACCTCACCCAGCTGACAGACATGCTCCCAGGCAGCCTTCTTCTGCTCCTCTAGACAGAATCAGTCACTGATCTTTATGTGACATCAGCCAAGCAGTTCCCTAGCACTCCAGCTCCAGACTTGGGGTTAACTATGTTTCCATTTCCCAGTCTTCTTTGAAAACAGACTAAGTCCAGAGCCTAGATGGACTCTGCCACACCATGAGAGGGCACCCAGGCACGGACACTGTCATCTAACATTCCCCAGTGAGGAGCCCCTGGCCTCACCTCCCCTTTCAGTTCCTTCCATCCCCTTCAGGGAGGAAGCGCAAACCCAGGATTAGTGCCAGTTAGTCCTTATAAACCACACTGCTCCCATTTCAGCTGGCTATGCTAAGTTCCCAAAGATCTGTGGAAGACCTGTGAAGACTTCAGGGCCCCTGAAAACCTTGGAAGAGCTGTATTGAAGCTGTAATTCTAACAGCTCTAATTCTAACAGGCCAGGGAGATAGCTCAGCAGAATAATCGCCTGCCTAGCAAGCGTAGGGTCCTGAGTTCAATCCCTGGTAACGCAATAAATAAATAAAATAATAAAAATAAAAAATAAATTTAACAGGGGCCAGGGAGATGGCTCAGTAGAATAAGCGCTTCCCTGGCAAGCGCAAGGGCCTGAGTTCAATCCCTGGTTCCACAAAAACATAAATAAATTTAATAGCTTTGGCCTCCTGGGCCAGTGAGGAAGGAGAAAGGACATGTTCTTTCAACATGTCTCAAATGTTCTGCTTTCTCAAAGCTACTTCCCTCATCCAGGACACTCAGACATCTTGCCTCTGTGCCATCCATAGCTACAGAACACTGAGGCCACTGCTCTCCTCCCTGACACCTCTCCAACAGACTCTCCTTTGCCTGTATGACTCAAATCACCCTCATTCTGCACCTAGTTAGTGGCACCATGCTCCCGCTGCCACCCAGTGCCCAGCACAGTGCTGCCACCTGCAGCAGCCTGGTAAGGATTTCTGTGCTGACTCCATGTCTCTCCTTGCCAGTCCTGCTGTCAGTGATGGGCCTTATTCCTCTTTCTCTACCTGTGCTGCTGCTTCATAGCAGTGTGGAACCCAACCCTCTCCACCCACCCTGTGCAGATCCTGCCTGCCAAGTCCCTGTCAGCTGAAATACCCAGGCACTGCCCAACATGGGTTCATCCATGTAACTGTCCCTCCCTTAGTTGACGTGACTTCTCATTTCACAGATGAGGAACTGAGGCACAAGCAACTACTACGGATGCAGTGGATATACGAGCCAGACTTCTCTCCTCCCTCCCCCTTAACCATTCTGCCAAGTGACCTTTCCCACCCTCCAGCACTTAAGCCCTCCCTCCTCAGAAGGAGGCCGCATTTTTGGAGTAGCAGTTGGAAGATTTATTCCAATATCTGCTATGGAGTAAAATAACATTGCAAAAGTTGGTACTATGTGGATCACTGTGAAGTGGGTAGAACCCCAGGGCTGCACTCACACAGACTCTGGTTCCTGGGCCAGTCAAAAGCAGCCCTGGCCCAGCACGGGCTTTTGGCCACTTCCAGGACTCTCCAAGCCACGGCGCTGGGCAGGAATGCCTGAGCCCCTGCCCAGGTAAGTGGCCGGCGAGAAGGAAAGAATAGCGGCAGTTCCTCCAGGTACTATTCTCCGGAGGCAAGGCGACCCGCCGCGGCACTGCGCGGTCTGGTCCGCAGTCCGCAGAACCCGGGCACTTGCTGCTCTCTGGCGGCCGGAGCGGGAGCCAGGACCTGGGAATCGCGCCTTCTAAGCTCTGCGCGCCCAAGGGCAATCGGCGAGTGACCAGGAGGCTGGAGAGGGCGGGAGGAAGAGGGACGCAGCTCAGAGCAGTGGAGGACGAGGCCCAGGAGAGCGGCGGGAGGGGGCGCGAAGGGCACCGTGAGGGCAGAGGACCGGCGCGGGCGCCCGCTGCGAGGCGTAGGTGGCTGCTGCGGGGCCGAGCGTCAGCCGCAGCCCCTCCGGACCCTGGCACCCGCGGGCCCCGCGCGCAGCCCCTTCTCCAGTGAGTGCGGCCCCTCGCGCCGGCCGTCCCCTCCTGCCTCCCGCGCCGCCCCTCCTCCGGCCCGCCTCCCTCGCCCAGTTGGGAGGCTGCAGTGGCCGCTACCGGCACCGTGGGTCCCGGAGCCGCCGTTCTGCCCACTCGCCCCGGCGCTCTCTGAGCGGACCACGGCCCGGCCCCGGCTCTTCGGTCCTGCTCTTGACCGGCCCTGGGGTCCCCGGCTGCTGCCGGACCTGCCAGCTCTGACCTCGGGTAGCGGCTCCGCGTCCCCAGAACTTGGACAGGACCCCGACGGAGCAGCGCAAGTGGCTGGACCGAAGCTCTGCAGCTATGCCCGCGGTCCCCTCGCCTGCCCGCCGCTCGCCCAGCGCCCCAGCTCTGCCCCCGACGGCTGCGCGTTGAGATGACTTTCCAGGACCTCCTGAGCGTCACTTTCGAGGGACCCCGCCCGGACAGCAGCGCCGGGGGCTGCGGGGCGGGCGGCAGTGGGAGCGGCGCGGGCAGCACGGCGGCCTCAGAGGGCCCGGCGGTGGGCGGCGTGCCTGGGGCAGCGGGCGGAAGCGGCGGCGTGGTGGGCGCGGGCGGCGGTGAGGACAACCGAAGCACAGCCGCTGAGCCTGGGGGTGCTGGTGCGGGCGGAGAGGTCAACGGCACGGCGGCCGTCGGGGGGCTGGTGGTGAGTGCTCAGGGTGTGGGCGTGGGCATCTTTCTAGCGGCCTTCATCCTCACCGCCGTGGCGGGCAACCTGCTTGTCATCCTCTCCGTGGCCTGTAACCGCCACCTGCAGACAGTCACCAACTACTTCATCGTCAACCTGGCCGTGGCCGACCTCCTGCTGAGCACCACGGTGCTACCCTTCTCAGCCACTATGGAGGTCCTGGGCTTCTGGGCGTTCGGCAGGGCCTTCTGCGACGTGTGGGCCGCCGTGGACGTGCTGTGCTGCACGGCCTCCATCCTCAGTCTATGCACCATCTCCGTGGACCGGTACGTGGGCGTGCGCCACTCGCTCAAGTACCCAGCCATCATGACCGAGCGCAAGGCGGCAGCCATCCTGGCGCTGCTTTGGGCTGTGGCCCTCGTGGTGTCAGTGGGGCCGCTGCTGGGCTGGAAGGAGCCTGTGCCCCCCGACGAGCGCTTCTGTGGCATCACTGAGGAGGCGGGCTACGCTGTCTTCTCTTCCGTATGCTCCTTCTATCTTCCCATGGCTGTCATCGTGGTCATGTACTGTCGCGTGTACGTGGTCGCGCGCAGCACTACACGCAGCCTCGAGGCCGGCGTCAAGCGCGAACGTGGAAAGGCCTCAGAGGTGGTGCTGCGCATCCACTGTCGCGGGGCGGCTCCGGGCGTGGACGGGACGCGCAGCGGGACGAGGAGCACCAAGGGCCACGCCTTCCGCAGCTCGCTGTCCGTGCGCCTGCTCAAGTTCTCCCGCGAGAAGAAGGCGGCCAAGACTCTGGCAATCGTGGTGGGCGTCTTTGTGCTCTGCTGGTTCCCCTTCTTCTTCGTCCTGCCGCTCGGTGAGTGACCCCGCGGGTTCAGCCCTGCTCTTCCTCCCCAGTTTGTGATGGTGCCTTCCTGGCAGGTGAGGATGACCCTTCACTTGACCCCGGCAGTTGATTTAGCAACTTGCCTGGTCTCTTTGTAAGAGAAGAGGGGCTCTTTGTACTTGCGGGTTTCATTTTACAGGGTACTTCGCTGTCTCTCCCTCTTAGTTACCTTTGTAAACCCTGGCCTTGTTTTATGTTCCCAACTCTGACTACTAAAAGAGTTCATGAAAATCAATGCAGACATCTGCCACTAGCATGTGGTCAGCAGTATCTGTGACTCCTACATGTAACCCCTGCCAGAAGCAGGTTCAAGGCGTTGGGCCGGTATGTGTGCATCCCCGAGCAGCGGCCTGGCCAGGCACCACCCACATAGGCAGACACCAGGGACTGCCAGGTGTCCCCAGAACACTTCCGGTTGGAGAGTGACTCCAGGTTGCTATTTATAAAAAGCCTCTGGGCCTTGCTTCTGAACCTCCTCTGGGCTGAGGAGGGCTCTGAAGGTGTTCCAGGAAAGGGAGAGGCAGACTTTCAAGTGAACAGTTAATTTGTTATCATGACTTCTTTTCTGAGTTCATCTGTATTCTTGGGACCTTTCCTGGTTCCTTCACAAATTGCCCTGCAGTTCCAAGATGTGGAAAGCTGTTCTCAGGGACTTCTTTCCACCCCTAAATCCCCTCCTAGAAGCCCTGGAGCAAGACTTGGGGCTGGACAAGCACAGGAGGAGAAAGAAACTGCTCTCTGAGGACATTTGCCCTGTATCACGTTCCCATGGCCCTGCCACCTTGCGAGGCTGAGTCAGAGAAGAGACAGTGGCCTCCCTCCTGCTACCTACAGGCCCTCTCCACACAGCCGCCATGGTGACCTTTATACATTATGCATCAGATGTGCCACATGGCTCCCAAGTCTCTCAATGCCTCCCCACTGTCCTGGGAACAGAATGCAGCTCTCTCCAGGACCCATTGAAGGCGGCCTTCCCATGTGTTATTGTCTGCTCCAAAATGAGATCCATGCATATTCACATAGAACCAGGACCTCTGTCTGCCTTGGTCCTGGCTACTGCATGCACCTGCCTCTCCTCCCGTCCGCTCCTGGTTCTGTGCCAAGCCCTGGGCTATCTCTGGGCCTTTGCATTTGCTCTTCTCTCATCTGGATCTCTCCACCCCTACATGGCCTCCTCTCAGTAGGGTAAGGCTGTCATCCCTGAGTCCACAGCCCCCACAGCAGCACTTTGTGTGTGAGGCGCAATAGAATGCTGTAGTAAGGTCATGAGCTCTGCTGCCAGATAGGCTGTGTTCAAATCCCAACTCTGCCTCTTACTGGCTGTGTAAGCTTGGAAAGAACACTTCATTTCTCTGTGTCTGTTTCATCACCTAATAATGGTGGTGATAGTCAGACTGAGTGATCATTACTTCCACCAGTGTGAGTGGCCTGTGTGAATGTGACTGCTGTACTAGTGAGTGCCAGGTATACTGGCATCCAGCTCAGAGTAAGGAATGAGCGAATCCTCCACTTAGAAATCACCCGGCAAAGGCTGCTGTGGGAATAGAGTGTGCAGTGCTCTGAAAGCAGCGCTCTTGGGGATAGGACAATTAAGCAGTTGGCACCCCTCCCCAACTGCCTACCCAGCCGGGAGCCGCAGCTCCTCGCACTCCACCCCCCAGCCCTGCTCCCGCCTTGCCCAGATGTGGCCCACTCCTCCTCCCCTGCGCCTGGTTCCCACAGCCTAAGCAGGATGCTTGGCCTGTGTATAGAAAGCTGCTTCCCTTTCTATTTTTTATTTTAACTTTTAAAATTTTAGTTACAAAATAATGCACAACTGAGGAGGCAATACTCCAACAAGCCCTCATGAACCTGTAATCACCCTTCCTGACAGATGTTAACATTTTGCCATATTTGCCTTAGATCTGGTCCTCTCACTCCTTCCACAGGAACAAACCGCAGCTGCAACTCCCTGTCCTCCTCCTTTCGCCTCTCGCTTGCCTCCCAGGAGCGAATCTGCCATTCATCACCTGCACATATCTATGTATATTCTTGCTGCAAACACCTACATTCATAACAAAGTATAGCATTGCTTTATGTGTTCTTAGGCTTAGACCAACGGCACCTGCTGTATATATCATCCTTCAGTTTGCATTTTTCACCCAACATCACATCCTTGAGATTTATTTATACAGTGCTGGGCTATTCTAACAGCAGCAGTACCTCTGAGAGCATTCCATGGTGCCTTGATCCAGTCTCGTGATGGATGTTTGGTTTTTTTTCACTTTTCACTGTTAATGTCAGTACTGCAAAAGGCTGCTTCTGCTTTTAAGGTCCAGATCACATGACCCCTCTTCCAGGAAATTATCCCTAAATTTCTATGACCTTGCCCTTTGCTGGAACTCACAGCTGTTTGCCAATCCCTACACCTCTGACTCCCCTTGCACATGGCACAGGGCCCTTGTGCCGGCAGACATGGCATGGGTATATGCATATGCAAAGTCCAGCTGTACACTTGGGTTGTATACCCAAGGGCTCAGGGCTGCGCCGAGAACTGAACTGAGTGGAACTGGCATTAATGAGCAACAGGACAGAGGCCAAGCAAGGAAACAGAATATTCCTGTCTGCCCTATATGACTTTAAGGGCAAGGAGTGGGGGGGAGGCTGCTTCAGGACCAAGAATGGCTATGTAGGAAGGGAAGGGGAAGGAGGTCCCAACACCCCCAGGCCTGGAAGGAGGGTGGCTTTGAAGGAACTAGAATGCTCTGAGCAGTAGCCTTTTGGGGATTCTGTCACCAAGAGGCTGACATGTCTTGATATGGAGGTTCCCGTGTGTGGTGGTACGGATGATGTGGGGAGCTTGGACAGAGTGGACAAGGATGGGATCCTTTCACAAGCATGGGGTACAGTCTCCCAGAAAAAGGATAGAAGGAGAAGAGAAGAGAGGGACTAGGGACAGAGCCTTGAGAGCCCCTGCTTTGAATCCAGGAGGCAGCCAGGAGGGGCAGGGCAGCTGCACAGGTGGCCCCTCCCTCCTCACAGTTCCTGGTGGCCTGAGCAGGACTCAGAGCAGGCTGCTGCTCCTCACAGGTCCTGGTGGCCACAGTGGATATGACAGCCATCAGAGATGGAAGATTTGGGAAAAGGTAGTGTGTGTGTCTGCAAGGGCCACAGACCATGGCCTCGAAGGCACCCAGGAGGCCACCACTGTCACATCTCCCCACACAAAGCTCATAAGAATCAGAGACAGCAGCTGGTGAGTAGTGCCAACTGCCCAGAGGTAACAAAAGCCTTAAAAAAAAAAAAAAAAGACCTTGAGTCCTAGAGGGGCATTGGCAAAGCAGGCCATGGACTGCCTTCCATCTGTAAGCCAAAATGCTGTGGTTCAGACCAGAGAGTTGTCCTGAGTTGTAGTGGCCCCTGGGGACACAGACACCAGGTATCTAAAATTTTGAAGGGTCCAGAGGTACTGGGGATCATCTTCCATATTTCTGGTTGCCCCAGTTTCCCCCAAGGAGGGAATTCAGAGCATAGGTTTCCCTGAGACTGACAGAGGGTCACAAAACAGCAGCCTTCTATGTCATCTGTTTGATGCTATGATTCCAGGCATCAGGGAGCTGCTGGGTGCCAGGGCTATAAGGGGACATGTAAAGGCCCCCTCACCTCATGAGAGTGCCTCCCCTGCTCAACCTTCCATGCTGATACCAGCTGAGCCATCTGCTCCATGCATAGCAACTACATGTCCCCATTTCCCTGGGGTTGTCCTACTTTGCACCTGGTGACTTGTGTGATTACAAGTAGTGCTCCCCTTTTGGTCTCAGAGGTGTTTCTGGCTGGCTAAGAGAGAACACAGACGCCAGTCCTGCAGTCCTGCCCAGGTTAGACACATGCTCCCAGCTCAGGAAGCTGGTGTTGGGCTGGGTACCGTGGAAAATCACAGGAAGCTGTGCAAATGGTCCCCTTCTCTCCAGGCAGTCTGTGGCCTGCTGTCTAGAGCAACCCAAATCTGCATTGTCGGGGTTGTGGGGGGGGCAGTACTCAGAGTCACAGCCTGGGAATTCCTGGATCAGGGAGGCCAGCACAGCTGCAGTGCAGCAGGGTAGGCTGGCCAGAAGTGGACCTGACTAAACTTCTGCACCTGGGACACTGGATGCATAAGTATCCTCTCCCTAGTGATCTAAACCAGTCATTTGGTGTGGACATGCAGGTCACCTTCCTGGCAAGTGAGAGAGGGATAGGCTGGACCAGAGAACTCTGTCCCTGGCAAGCACCCATCTGCAGAAGAGCTTCTTACTCTTGCAGGGGCCGCCAAGGGCCTCATCTCTCCTTGGTGTCTTCTTGGCAGCAGTACTCTTCTGTGTTTGGCTTTGGCCTGCCTGGCCAGTGTTCCCCAACCAAGCCCAGAGATGGTACTATCCTGCAAGACCTAGACACATGCATGCCAGCCTCACTGGCCTGTCATTCCAGCCTGGTCCCCCAGGCTCGCACTTACAGTTCTTTTATGAGAAGCAGAGCACTGAGCCTCACTGGCCTCTCAATGCCATCAGCCAGGGCAGCACCATAGCTCAGAGCCCAGGGCCCCTCCCAAATGTACTGCAAGGTGTGTGCAGAGGCTGTGGTATCAAAAGTCCCTGTACAGTCCAGTCAGTGTCCAGGACCCTGCTCTATCCAGTCACAGGCCACATCTGGACCTCTCTCCTGTATTTCTGGTCTGCCCTGTGATACTTCAGTGGCCACAAAGACTGAGTTATCTAGCGCTTCTCAAACACTTTCCAGACTTTCCCACAACACACTGCCCTTGTCAGTGGTCAGTACCTGTCACAAAGCCTGAGGGCCAAAGGAACTCACTGTGTGGAACAGTGGCCATATGGGTGAGGGGCCGCCGACGTAGGAGACCTGTATGTGTAGTCTGTAAGAAGAGGGATCAAGAGATGAGGCTAGGATCAGCCAGAGAAGAGAGAAATAAGCTGTGTGTTGTAGACTGGATTATG